GAGTTAATAAATGTTAAAAAAAAAAAACATGGGAAATATTGAAAAATATCAAAATAAAAAAATTCTGTATAACAAAAAATGATTAAGAAAGAAAAATTTTTATATTAATATTTTTTGTTCCACAAAACAGATATTATTTATTATTAAATTAAATTTATTTTATAAGTTTAATGTTGGGGTGAGTTAAAACTTTTAATTTTTTCTTTGAAAAATTAATTGGCATTAGTATGTGTTATCATTACAAATTTTACTCCTTCGTTATCTTGAATAAGAAAGACGTTACTTTCTCAAATCTTCATTTTTATCATATAAGTTGTTAATTAAAGATAGGGTTCATAGATGATCAGGATAAAATGAGGAATTTAATCACCTTTTAATTTTGTGAATTTCCCAAACTTTCTGAATATGGGTGGTAGCACCTGTCAGGGGTCCCAGCTATATAAATATATAATATTATAAGAAATACTTTTTTGAGGGATTTTTTATCATTTTTTTTTACAAAAAATATTATTTAGATATATTAAAAAAAAAAAAAAAAAATTACCTTGGTTTAAAAAATTTTTTTTTAATTCAATAACCCATCATATATATATCAACCAAAATTTTTATTCATTTAATATAATATATAAGTTTAATAGGACCAAAAAAAAATTATAAAATCCATTTATTCTTCAGAAAAGCCTAAACGTTTAGTTTTTAAAAATTCAAACATTTCTATTATTGTGTTCCTTTTAAAAAAAAATGGTTTAGTCTCACTGGCAGGAATATATATATATATTATATATATGTAAATGAGTTTTATATAATTGCATCGTTTTTTTTTTTCTTATCAAAATTTTTTAAATTTGTAAATAAGTATCATATCAAACTTATATGTAATTATAAGTTTTTATATTTTAATATTTTGGAAAAAAACTATTTTAGATTCCTTATTTTTTTTTTTTTTTGGAGTAATTTTTTTTTTTTTTTTTTTACAAAAATTCAAAATGACGAGTTTTTGTTTTTTTTAAAAACTAAAATATTATATTTAGATAAATGATTAAAATTTTACATATTTTAATATTTTAAAAATATTATTTTAAATAATTTTGAAATGAATATTTTTTAATTTTAAAACTATGAAATTTCTAATTTTTTTTTTTTAATTAGAAAAGAAAAATGAAATTTAGGTAATTTCCAAAAATTGAAAGTTTTTTTCTTTAAATTGTTGGTTTGTTTTTTTTTTATTTTTTGTTTTTTTCTTTTGTTTATTTTAAAAAACCAGGAAAATATTGTTAATTTGAAATTTTTATTAAATTTAAATGCACATTTTTTTTTGTTTTTTTTTTTATTTTTTTTTTTTTTTTTTTAATTTTTTTTCATTTTTTGATTATTTTGTTTTTTTTTTTTCGAGATTTTTTTTTTTTATTTTTTTTTTTTTTTAATTTTTTCACTTAATGATTCATCTATTTTTTATAAAATTTTGATAAAAATTCTTAAAAAAATTTTTTAGGAAAATTTTTTGTTTTTTTTTTTTGCTTTTTAAAAAATTTTTTTTTTTTTTTTTTTAATTTTAATTCAATAAAATAAAATATAAATATTTTTTCATTTTAAGTATTTTGTTTTTTTTGTTTGTTTTTTCTTTTTTGGCTTGTTTTTTTTCTGAGATTTGCAGCAAAATTCATTTATTTTTGGATATTTTATTGATCAAAACCATAAGGAATAATTTTATCTATAAATTTTTTTATTGTGTTTTTATTCTTTTTCATTTCAAAAAAAGCATTTTTAAAATTTCTTTTCAAAATTAAAATTTTAGATTTTTTTTTTCTGTTTCCATTTTTTTATTTTTATTTTTAAATCATTTTTGTAAAAAAAATAATGAAAAAATCAACGGTCTACATTTTGTTTTGAAAAAAATCTTTTTGGGTTCTTTTTATTTAAACAAAAAGGGTTTTAAATTTTATTAAACCCATTTCTAAATTTGTTTTCTTTTTTCTTAACGTTATAAATTTTTGTTTTTTGTTTTTTCTTTTTTTTAATATTTTTTTTAGGGAAAAGCTCATTTAAAATCCAGAAACAGATTTGGTTTACGATACTTGTTTATCTTTTTTTAATTGAAGGAAACAAGCAAAAGAGATAATTTGTTGTTGAAATTTTCAAAAAGGTTTATTTACACCAAAATAAATTAAACTTTTTTTTTTAATGTAAAAAAAAAAAGGTTTTTATTTTACTTTTCTAAATGATATGTTTAAATTGAATGAATTTTGCTAGATTGAACAAAATTCAAATTTTGACAAATGGACAGTGAATGGAATAAAAAATATTTATTGTTTTATTGATGCAAGTTTAAAACAACTTTTTAAAATCTCATATGCAATTTTAAATTGAAAAGAACATTAAGAAATTTTGTAAAATTATAGAAGATAATTAAAATTTAATGAATGTAAATTTCAAAAATGAAAATAATGGAAAAGGGGTTTGTTTTTAACAAAAATAAACTTTTATCTTTCTAAATTTAAGGAAGAATTTCTGAGGGTCATGAAGATTCGTCCTGAAAAATTACAAAAATATTACAATGATGCAGTTTTGCTTTCTTCTTTTCATCGTTATTTGGAAAGAATTATTTTGCTTTTTTACCTCGTTCCAATTTTCTGTTTAAATTTAAGAATTTTCTGTACAAAATACTGATAAAAAGTTTTTTACCTTTAATAATTTTGAAAAGAACATCGAATGTTTCAGCGTTCAAAATAAAATTCAGACAATCTAAACAAGGATCGAATTTAAAGGAATTCTTTTGGTATAATTTCAAGATTTTTTTTTGAAACCATTTTTAAAATCAACAGTTTTGTTTGTATTTATTTCCCTTTTTGCCGGTAAAAAAATTTAAAAAATGAGAACTTTTTATTTTCAAAAATGTTAATGATTTTAAATTATCCATGGATAAATATATAGTATGGACTTGTAATAAATAGAATAAAAAAATTTTTCTTTAGATTTTATGTTTCAAAATATGAATTAAACCTGTAAAAATAAAATTTATTTATTATTTATATATTATAAACCATAATATAAATTAGGGCGCAATGTAACTTGGAATTAAAATAAAAAATATATTTAAAATTATTAGTAGATCGTCCCTGGCTTAATGCTCATAATTTTAAAGTTAAAAATCTTTAAAATAGGAAAAATAATAAGAATAAGAACGTTAACGAAAATTATGATCTTCTTTACTAAGATTAGAATTTAAATTATTTTATGATTCCTGTTTAGAATCTTTATGTTTGTCGATTAACGGTTATTTTAAATTAAAGAACTTTTCAAAAAAAATAGAACAATAAAATGCTAATTAACTAATATTTAAAAAATAAATTTTTCATGCACTTCACATAATCCTTGAGGTTTTTGAATTTTAAATTTCTTATTCATATTTTCATTGGTTTTTTTCTTTAACGCGTTTTCTTTATTTATCAACCCCAATGGGTTTTTGAAATGTCGACAATTTAAATTTTTTTTAATTTTTTTCTTTTCTTTTTTTCTATTTTGGTTCTTAATTTTTTTTCAAAATTTTTTTCTTTCTTTTTTCTTTTTTTTTCTTTATATTTCTTTTTTTTACTTCTGAATTCTTTTTTTTTTCTCCTTTCTGTTTTGTCATTTTTTTCTACATACTCTTTTTTTCTGTTTTCTACTTTATCCCTAATTTTCTACTTCTCTTTTTTTGGGGCTTATTTTTCTGTTTTAATGCTTTTGTTTTTAAACGGATTTTATAACATTAAATATTTGTACTTTTTTTTTTTTTTTTATATTGTTTTCTGTTTTTTACTTTTACACTTTTTCCATGTTTATGCTTCTTTCACAATTCATCAGTCCGAATCAAGGAAAAACTCCTGAATAAAGGCTTTATTGGATGTTGATGTAGCAATTTTTGTTTACAAAAAAATTAACATGGTTTTAATCAGTGTTGCACCTTGTGTAGAGTGTAGAATAATTCAAAATGGTGTGGGAAAACCGAAGTTTAACCTTCTTCCAAAGGAGTAGTAGGCAATTTCCAGCTTAAAATACTGCAAATAACAGTTGACATTATTAAAATTAACTTTCTTAAGAGAGAGAGCTTGTAAGAAAGAAAAAATCCAATTAATAAATGATTTCTTTAAATCAACTAAAATTTTAAATGTTACATTATGGTATAAGTGTGGTAAAAATTGAATATACATTTTTTAGTTGTTAAAAACAAATACATATTTCACAAAATAAAGTTGATCATTAATCAAACAAACTTTTATGATTTAAACCTATTTAAGTAGTGCCACTTTTATAAAAAAAAAAAATTCATAGAAAAGCAAATCAGTTAAGTGAAAAATGTTAAATTAATTAATTAATTTCCAAGTAACAATACCAAGATTCCTAAATTACATTTTTTTAATTTCTCAATAAACATAAATATAGCAACTCCAAAGGAAATGACTAATTCTTACACTTCAATCAAATAAGCTAAAGTTATTTGAAGTGTAAAATGCAAATATTTTTTGAGCTGACAACAGGAGCAAACTACTGCAAACCCAAACCAAAACTAAAATCTTGCTTCCTGTGAAAAGACAAGATTTGAAATAGGCCTCCTGGTTTGTCCCTGAGTTGGCCTGAAATAAAGAATGTGTGGCATTAGCTAAGGAAAATTTTGTTGATAGGTCTACTATCATATGAAATTGTTATAGAATTAGCACACAATTCAAATATTCCTATTTATGTTCATACATGTTAAGAGATATGATCACCTAATTTAACCTTTATTGTAAATGAGTAAAAAACTAGTTTAAATATCACTAATCAGATTATTAAGAACAAAAAGCAATTTCTTCACAAAAAATTTTTATTATTGCTTTGGATTAATATAAAAAGTCAGCTTTTATTGGCAATTTAAAGCACTTTATCTTGTACATAGCCATTTAGAAAGATGCTTTTTTTTATAATTTAAAAAAGAAACTGAAGACAAAATCTGGGGATTTTTTAAAAACATCAGAAGTAAATTATTCAATCATTTCAGCTCCATCTCCTCCTGTAGGATCTACTAACTTCATATCATCCAACATTTCTTGCAGGCTGATCTGAGGCAGATGTTCATCTTCAATGTCATCAAGGTCAACAGGAGTTTTGGTAGAATCTGAAAGATTATAAAAATCAATCAAACAGTCAATTAACCCAGAAGTAGCAAAAAAAGAAAACAAAACAACAAAGAGGGTTTAAAAGTTATAGTGCATTTTTTCAAGTCATGCACTTGGAATACATATTATTCTTGACAATACAAAAAAAATATTTGGAGGCTCTTCAAATCAAATGATTGCAACTTACCATCAATAAAATTTAATCACAGTACACGTGTTAAATAAAATAAGGTATTTCTCATCTATATTTATTTCAAATCCTGAAACATTAACAACATAAATGTGCCACTGGCTCTCTCTTCTACATTCTTTCTTTGAAAATCATCAATGATGGCTTTTTCACCTGATATTAAATGACTTTTTTAACAACAGGAGAAACTCACTAAATACTCAACAGATATTCAAGTTCTATTGAATAAAACATAATTAAAAGAAGGATTGCTACCTCAATATTTACAATTCATAGAATCAGGAGAAAATATCAACATAGATCAAAGAATAAACCAAATGCAGTAAAGTCATTCCATTTCAAATCAACCAACAGCCACAGGTGAAACTCTCAGAAAAAAAATGTGAAATTTCAAAATGCTCTGATTTTAAAATTTAAAAAGATACAGATCTAATATTTGTGATTTATCAATAAATTTCATCAAGGAACACTTGTGAATTTTCCCAGATTTTTCTGAGAAGGTCACATGAGGCTGATTTGAAATGGAATGATCCAACATAATTTTCCATAATATTCAGTAATACAAACTAGTTACAGAATTCATGGTCACAATATGATTCAACCAATAAAACACAAAGTTGTTTTCATTTTCAATCTAATCATTTTTTTAAATTTTAACTGAGGGAAGGAAGATTACTCTTCGAAAAGCCAGTAATTGTCCAGCACCAACAAAATTAAAAACCTTATATAATAACTTATCAAATAATTATTATATAAATGTTAAAGCACTAAAATGTTTTCATTGTTAAATCTACAAAAAATAACATCAAATGGTCATAATCATTACTTGTTAAATTACTTGAAGAGCTGATTTATGAGATCTACATAGAAGTTGTCCAAAGTATCAGACAAGTAGCTGAAGCCTTGAATAAAACATCTACATATAACATGGGAAATAGGGTTTGCATTCTTATTTTTCAACATGGAATTTGTCTTTCATCTTGTTACCTTGTGAGCATGCGGTGGACCCTTGCCCAACTTTCAGTGCACACTGACAAGATTAGAAATTGAGTTGGGTGAGGGTCACGTTGTATGTTTACACATGCTGTTTTGTTTACATTAGTAATGGAAACAAAACCATGAATTTTGTTTAACAAATTTAAATTTTTATAGTGGATTTGTTGAACACACAAGAATAATATTTCTACCTTTAAAAATGTTGACATTCTGCCTGTAACTATCATCTTCTTCAAGATCTTCTAAGAATTCAGTATATTCCCTGTAATAAAAAATAACAGTTTATATAATGAAAAAAAGTATATATTAATGCATGGAAAATGTGTGAAAGGCTTTTAAATCTGTGAGATTTTTAGTATAAACAGCTTGTTTATTTTACACATTTGTGCTGGATAACAAGCTGACAATGACTAACAATCTGACAAGAGTAATTCCGTATATAAAATATGGAATCACATATGTGGTAAGCAATTTAGTCCAATCAATATATTTGCAACTATTTTTCTATTAGGACACAGAATAAAGTGAATCCAATATTCTGATCTTCATCCCAGTCTCTGCATTCATTTTAAAATATGAAGTTTTCATAGTATCTGAACCATACCTTAAAGTTATATTCAAATGTATTTATGACATCTAATGAATTTTTCTGTCATTTGTGTGTGTGTGTGTATATATATATATATAATGTGTATCCATCTTTTGATCAAAAGTTTATCCCTTGTTTCCTGTTTAGGATTTGGTTTCCAGTATCTTCTAAAGTTCACTTCAATTATAGAGTTCTATCTTTGCCCAAAAAAAAATATGCATATTTTTTTTACAATCCTGTCATCCAGTTCATAAAATTTGATAAGCTTTTAAACAGGGTAAAGGGTTTATCCTTTGTTTCCTGTTAGGATATATTTTTCAGTTCCTTTTAAAGTCTTCTCATTCTCTTTCACTCTGTAACCTCTTTTTGGCATTATCATTATACAACATATATATATATATATATATATATATATATATTTATTGCTCCTCTGTGTGTGTGTGTGCACTGTTTGAGATTTAAGACTCTAACATGGAAAAAGATAGATTTTGGAATTTTTGTTAAACAAACAGAATCACAAACAAATGGAATATTTTAAAAACTGGTTTTAAGACTGAGGATCAGATTAGAAAAACAGATGTTGAAACAATGTTCTTATAATTTTTCAAAGTCAAAATGTTTTAGATATAGCAAATTCTTATGGATTTTGATTTTTAAAAACACAGTTAAATTGAATGTTCTATAAAAAGAGCTTTGAAATTTTGATCTGATAAACATTATAAATTACATCAGTCTTTTTTGTTGGAAAAAATAGGAATCGGTTTCATGAGCAGAAGATGTTGACGGTTCGACATTGATAATTCTGACTGAATATTTATTCAAATCTGGAAAACTACTAATTTCAAGAAATGAATATGTAGAATATCAATATATAATCAAAACAATTTTACTAAGAATTAAAAGAAGATAGAGATAAGAAAATATCAATTGTGTATGATTCATAACTATGTTCCAGGAAATAGTTACATGATAAACAAGTTAAAATCAGCAATCATTTATTAGTTCTAGAAAATGTACTAAAAGAACTTCTTATTGTTAGAAAATTTCATAATATTTGTCAGATTTTCGATAATGGTCAATAAGAATCATAAACCAAATATATATATATGGATATATATATAAATGTTATCGTGTGTGTGTCATATAAAATGTATCAATATCTATATATGTATATACATATATATATATCACATATGTATATAATTGGTTTGCTTAGAGTAACAAACGTATGAATCTTGCATATACATTTGAAATTCAAACAATTTAAAAAATAATCCATAAAAGAATCTCTCTTTTATTTTGATTTTGCAAGAAAGAATCAGATAAAATACGAAATCTCCAGTGAAGATATTAAATATATATCCTGAATTGAGAAAATAAAAAAATTATTTAAGAAATTTTAAGTTTTAAATTAAAGAGGAAACTCAAGTTGGAGGAACACTCATTAATTTTTCATCGGACTTGAAAAGATAACAAACAGTGACAGAAAAGTGTGTGAGTGTGTGTGTTCATATAGTTAAGATAAAAAAAAAAAAAACTGAAAAGAACAAATAACCAATTATTAAATACATGTTTAAGCGCTCAGTTGCGACTTCGTTTTTTCTCGCGCACTGCACGCATAAAGGAAAAGAATCGAAAAAAAAAATAAGAAAATTCCAAAATGGAAAGATGTTTTTTTTAATAATATAAATTATTTGCTGAAATTTTAAGTCACTCCAAGTAACTTGAATCTGATATTCAGAAAAAGCAATAAACATTCTGAATTAATTCTGTTTATTTACTGTACAATTGAAATTTGTGAAAATAATTTACTTTTATGAAAAAAAAAAATCTCTTTCTAAAAAGCTAAATATTTTATATATATATATATATATATATTTGTGTTATGATTTTAAAGAGCGCATACATCTGGTAGTTTATCAGGGTCCATTTCTTCAAGGTTTTTGTTGTTGAACATTGAAAAGCAGTAAAAAAATGTTGAACATAGATCAAACAAAACAAAAATGTATATGAAGTTATATATCTCACAACAAGAAAAAGGTACTTGGACACATGTCGCAAATTTGCTCGAGTTTTGAAAAATTATAACAAAACGGTTATTGATATCAAAATTTACAAGTTCAGCAATTATTCATCAAAATTAATAGGTATTGAAAAAAATGTATTGAAAGTTTAAATATAAATACTAATGAAATAATTTTGAATGAATATTTCATATTAATTAAATAGTAATAAACAAAAATAATTTACAAAAATGATACATATTTGAAAAGCTGATTTTGATCAATCTAATTTAGATTGTTGATTTTGTATTTCAATTAGCAATAGGCAAATTACTGCTTTAAAATACTGTACTGCTTGAAAATGATTATAAAAAAAAATCTTATATTTCAAAACTGATAAGTCAAATCATGTGTCACAGTTTAGCCTAAATATCACTAAGTTAAAATAAAAGCAAGGATTTTTAATATTTTTTAAAGGCTTTAAATTTTAAATTCAATAATAAGTGCTTAATATTCAAAGAGAATCAAAACCTATTTTTACTTAAAAAAATGCCACCAAACATAGATATTCAAGTGCTTATTTGATCAAAGATATCAAATATTGGACTAAAAAGAAACATTAAAAATTCAATTTTCCATCAGTGTGGCAGAGGCAATATCACCCCTGAAATAATGATAATGATAATAAAGGAGGATATGCTGTAAAACAGAAAACACCAAGTGAAGGAGAGGCTTTTCAAATAACCAAGATGTTAATATGCTGTAAAGTATTTTGAAATTTAAATGTTACAGAAAGTTAATTTATAACACAAAATACAATCTTTTTGTATACTGGATATCAGATTAATAATAAAAATTTATAGAAAAATAATAATTTGAAACTTTTTAAAAACGGATTTTGACACTATAAGAATCAAAGTTAAAATTAAGGATGTTTTGATCTAGAATTTATTTTTTAAACAAGAATCTCTGTAGTTTACAAAGAGTGACAGAGTAATTAATAGCGAGGTGATAAACAATAAGCTTCTTTTTTTGAACCTTGCAAACCAATCGATGAAAAAAGTACATTGTTTATTCACGGAGGAGTGAAGTTGTACTTTGGTAATATGTCAGTACGTTCGCACCAGTAAAACAGACACGTCACCTGTTTGGGACACGGAGGCCGGTTCTTTTTAATAAAGAGGCGAGCCAACCGTAACAGAGAGAGAGAGAGAGAGAGTTTTTTGGATTTATCTATCTTCGAATGCAGTCGAACTAAGTGAGACGTTAGATATTGAAAAAGGAAGCGCCCACTGTGTGTTGCTGAAGCTGAGGGCAAAGAAGGAAATACCGTCGTTAACATCTAAGTGCCGCTACTCCTGCTACTACAAAATAGTACTATTACTATTATTACTACTGAGGACGGAAGCATCGAATATTGTAGTAGTTGCGCTAAGAACAGACCAAAAAGCGTTAAGACGAAGGCCACATCTCCCTTTACCGAAATTATTGGAAATATTTGCGTTTGTTTGGTTAATGTTCACATACAAGAAACATTCAACCTTGTGCAACAAGATTTTTTTATATATTTGCTTTATATATATATATATATATATATATATATATATATATATATATATATAAACTATTGTCGTTTCAAAATCGAATCGACTTGGATATATTTATTTTCTATTAACCTGATTTTCATCCGACGAACTCGCATGTGGGACAACGGAGAGATTCCGGATTTCTACCATCTGGTGACCACTCTCCAGGATAAAAAAAATCACAACGTGGCTGGAGGGTGGCTTTGAATTGATATTTGGAACCGGAGAAGAAATATTTCTGCTGGATGGTAGCAGTAAACTAAAAATATACATATATATATATATATATATATATATATATAGAGAGAGAGAGAGAGGAGAGGGAGAGAGAGGAGAGAGGAAAGACACGGACAGACAAAGAGATGAGGCGAACACGAGTAATTAATGAAACTAAGTAAAATCGATTTAAATTTTTTGCTAAGGAGTTTTAAATATTCGACTTTCAGCAATTGCATCTTTGGATATTCAGGGCTTTAATTGAAGTTGTATTCATCGGAACAAATGAGATACAGTAATGAACACAACCTGATACTGATAATAACGCAAAAAAATTGAGACGTTTGACACGTGTTAAGTTTATCATCATTCCTGTTTAAAATGTGCATGCGTATTTTACATTTTTATTATCATTTGGCTTTATAACAAGGCGATAAAGTCACTAAGACGCAAAATTAAAAGAGATTGAGGAAACTTTAGAGTATGCAGGAAACAATAGATAAATCTAAACCGCCGTTCAATAGACATGGAAAGAGTTTCAACGGGGAGTTATGTGAACTTTTCATAAAAAAGCAGTCAGCGTAAAATCTAGAACCTTCAACTTGGCCTTTAGCGATCATTGATTTAACTTTCAAATTGGAAATAGTGAGTTTCGAGACGAGGAGCGAACTAAAACGAAATGTTTGAAAGATGTCAGAGAAATTTGCAATATTACAGCTCGAAAAGAGAAATCGGAAAGCCAGGTTCGAATTTTATTTGGGTTCCATACAGTCCTTACGCGCAAATATTTTTGGGAAAGGCATGAATCGTCTCTATTTCCCACTCCGCTATGGGTTGGATAGCAGGTTTCTGAAATACAACCTTGGTTTCTCAACGGACTATCGCAGAAAGAAATGGCAACCTTTTGTGGGAAATTGGGTGTTTTGCCTAGTATAAATGAATCCAAAGATACATCATACCCCGAGCTTGTAATTTGTTTGGCCTTTTTTGTAAATGACTGAATGTCAAGATATGCTGTCCATATCGCCGAGAAGTTGGGAACCTTTTCGATATGAAAAGTCGGGTTAACAAAACGCCAATAGACGGTGGTGTTTATATATGGTTAAATGCAAAATAAATAACTGAACTGTCCAATAGACAGAATTGCAATAAGTAATAAGAAGAGAAATAAAATAAAGAACAGGTCAAAAAGAATATAAAACAAGCAAACGATATATACGAGACAAATGACCAGTAATATGGCAAAAAAAGTACAAACCAAGAATTGGCGTTGACGCACAAGAAACAGTTCGGACAAGGATCATAGCGTTCTGACGACAAGACTAGACAGATCGGGACTGTGCCAGGAGAAATTGTAAATTGGCCTGTTTTATTGGTAAGGAACAAAAAAAAAACAGTATTATTTTTACACGCTTCTGCTATAAAAGGAAGGGGCAATATTTTTATAGTCATTCCCAGCAATTTTAAATCAACATAGAGGAAGATACCATTACTACTGGGATTTCAATTCATAAATAAAGACGAATACCAAGTAAAAGGAATCTAAAGGAATGAATTAAAATTAAATAGAATCAACATTGTACATGACAAGCAAACTTTTGGCATCCATTGTCCGGAGCCGCCAATACTGCTTTCGGTTGAAATTTATAAAATATTTCTATTACTAATTGTGCGACAAAAGAAAAAGATAAAGAAAAATAAAGGTAATGACAGAACCAACTTTTTTTTTTTTTCTAGTAAACAATAAAGATCTTATTATAATTTTAGTGATTTGTTTAGTGTAAAAAGTGTTCAAAAAATAAAGTCTTACCAGCCAGAAGTTAGCGAAAATTTTTCAGTACCAAAACCTTAAAAACTTAGTTGGGGAGACAGATAAATATTTAGTGTGTAACTCACTTTCGAGTAGTTTGTAACAAATCTATTTATCATATTTCAGTTGCGTCTCTGTCTTTGGGCAGACTGCACTTATGGGCGACTTCCTAAAGACAGTCGCAACTCAAGTAAATTATAACTGAAGATTTGCCTGAGGCGCATTCATTGCACCATACAGAGAGAAGCATAATATTTGAGGCCAGCGCAACCGACGATTGCTGGGGCATTTTTTTTATTCAATTATATGGATAAATATATTTACTGGGTGGCTCACCTTAAAAAATTAACTAAAATTTAGGAATGTCACAACTCATCTTAGTGGGGAGACAGAGTAAATATCATCTGTAATTTATTCTGTGTTTTAAAGAGTTCAAAATATGAGGCAATAAGATTTTACCACAAGTTTGAATATTTTGGATATTTAACTAAGGATATATATTTTAAAGAATTTCAGGAATTTTATGTTTTAACAAATTGTACATTTAATTTCAATGTGCAGTACTATTGTGGTTAATGATTTTAAGAGAAATTGGTAAGCAGGGTTTGAATTTGGCCTAGTTCAGTGTGTTCACTTTCTCAAAATACACTGATGGTAAAAGAAAACGATTTCTCTTCTCCTTCTAGTTATGGGTTAAATAACTGGACTGACCTGAAATGGCAACCCATCTCGGAAAAAGAAAACCCTTAAAAACAAAAAACTTGTCTGAAGAGAGTGGGATCTATCAGTCGGCCTTGTCAAAACATGTCACTGCTACTATGGATGCAATACATTTCGTATTTCTATAATCAGTAATTAAAATAGCAATGGGATGACATTTAACTTTTGTAGAAATATGTAAACTTATGGAGGAAGAAAATCCCAGAATAATACTATTTTCCTCCCAGAAACATTTTGTATAAATCGCATCAACAAGAATTTAATCAGAAGGGAGTCTCACAGGTGAATTTTGCTTTAAAAAGATACTATCTGAATAGAACTGACATTTCCATGTAGCTATTTCAACAATAAAATGGTGAGACCTAATTGCCAATCTAGTAGAATACTTGAATTCATGCTGTCAAGGAACCAAGGTTAAAAGATCAGAACAATTGCCATTAAAATATTTGTTCAAAAGATAATGTCTTACCGACAAGTAGTTAAAAATATTTCAACAAAGAAATTCAGTGGGTGTGAATTGCTTTTTTTTTTTCAGCCAAGAGGTCCAGTCAGTGAACATTAGTCAAATAGCAGCTCTGAAGATGATTTGTACATTACCTGATTTCGTCAGCTAAATCGGTTAATATTGGCGCCAACCGGATGAAGATACGCCCCATTTCAGGTTATCCGACGACATCTAAAAGTATTCTTTAAAACTTTGATCTAAATCGAGAACTAAAAAGAGTATTCATTTTAAAAAAAAATAGATTCTCTAAACATAACAAACACATATTTCAGGAAAGTAGTTTTTTCAAGTTCAGTACGTCTTATCGTTCATTCGAGTATTAAAGGGGTTTTTCCTAACTTTTTATTTGAAGTAGTGTTGAATATCAACATTTGATTATGTTCTTATTTTCACTTCGAGTTAAATGTTTTATCCATTTTAATTTTTATTGCTGTTCGTAGCCCACAAGTTTGGTTTCTATTATCCGGCACAGATCTGCTTCTTTATCGCCAGTCCACAATGCCCAGGCTTCAATTAGCACAACGTCTTTTTTTAGCCATTGATTTAGAAACGTATGGGATAATGAAAAAGAAAAATTGATCTAGAGTTTGGACAAACTCAAGATAGAAAGGAATAATAACACCCCAAGAAGAATCTGCAACGTCACTGGTGCTGACCTGGCATCCCATCTTCATTCATTTCCCCACCACTGTATTGGCGATTTTCTTGTTTTTTTTATAAATACTTTTCATGGTAATTGTTCTGATAAACTTTGCTTTGTCCATCCAACATGAATTAAAAAATTTAAATGCGCAAAACTTGATTGGCAGTTGAATTGGTTAGATCATCATTTAAGTTCTAGTTAACAGTTTCTTCTCTCACACTTATTGTCCTGTCTCCTTAATAATGTTTTTCACTCTCATATTCTTTCACATTCATTAACCATTGTGTCTTAATAGCTTTACTACCTTGTTTGGGATAAAATGATTAAAAAAAAATACTACTATGCTACAGAAAATAGCTCAACCTGCCCAACTCTTACAGTAAGCATCATCTGTTGTGTGTAAACAAACTGAATGTGAATACCAGTGGAGATCTATAAAAGCTAATGTTTTTTCTCTCTCTAGCCAGTGGTTTGCCTGTTGCCTAGAGAACCCTTGTCACTCAGGATTATCACCACTAAGGATTTTGACAGTTGCTCAATTACTGGGTGCATCAAGGGGAAGAGAAGAAGACTCTTATTTAATTTAAAACTACACAAATCTTTATAATAAATTGAATCTTGTGATCATGAATATAAAAAATAAACTTTGTTTAATATGGCTTCAAATAAAAAGGAATTATTTCAATAAATTCATTAAATTTGTGAAAAGTAAATCTTGCTTACCTTGCAAAGAAAGTGGGTCAATGAGATGTACTGAGCGAGTGACTCTGAAAACAACACAGAGCTGTGAAATGCTGCCAAGTGATCGAGCCAGTTTCTTTGAAATGCACACAACATTGTCCTTTAAATATAAAATAAAAGTATGGTTTTATGTGATAAACATATTCAAATAGTTTCTGGCATTATTTACATTTATAAAAATCTGTTACTGAAATTACAAAAGAATAGCAGTAAAGCTTCATGTTTTTCAAAAATAATTATAAACCACCTTAATACAAAATTGTGTGTATACAAAAATACATTTAGTATATGATAAAAAGTTATTCAAATGTACATTTTGGTTAAAAAAAAAAAAAAAAAAAAGAAAAATGAATAAACCTAATTAAAGGAAACAGTACCAAAACTAACATAATTGTTTTTAAATGAATGAAATAGAAAAATATGGCTAATAATATATTAACCATATTATACACTTCTCTATTTGTTTGTAGAATGATTTTGAAAATAGAAATTTTCATATTATCATTTTTATATTCTAATGTTTATAAAAATTTTCCTCAATTTCCCCAGCAAAATGGATAGATTCTGTCACTTAAATTCATCCAATTCTCATTTAAAAAAATAATGAGTAATAAAAATATTTATAACAAATGATTAAATATACTCACTTTACAAATGGGGACTAATTCAACAGAAAAAGTAGTTTTGTAATTGGCAATATTACTGTGGATATCCATTGAAATAAGTTCCTGGGCAGTTTGGTATCTGGCAAAAACAAGAATTTTTTTTAATAAAAATCAGTATATTATCATAATGTTCAACAATTAATGTAAAATAAAAGAGTACTTTTAATGAATATGTTAATATAAAAATATATAAAATTACCCAAGAAAAGTTGATTCATTTAAAAATGAATACTTACTGTAAAAATAATGAAAACTTACAGCTGTGAAGAGTTGCAAATTAATTGTCATATTATAGAAAAAATGTATGTTGTATCAAGGATTTCGAATTAATAGTGGATTTTGCTTTGTAACAAATGCAGATTAAAGAATGACAAATAAAATCAGGTGCAAGTATCTTAATGGTTAACAGCAGAGAGAATGGAATCAGCAAACTTGTTTGCATGTATTAGGACAATTATATCTCTTTGTAAGCCAATCCATTTTGTTTGGCAAATTGATGAGCCCTGTAGAAATTCACTTGCTACAAAAATAACAGCTATATCACTGGCTGATGAGTTCTCAGCCTCATATCACACAAAATAACAACAGAAAAAATGTCAACAAATCAAAATGGAAGATTACCTGCAAGGAACAACCAATAACAAAAAGTCAACAAGTTTCCGTGCCCCTTGCTTTCCAGCAAAGTAAAAATCTAAGCCACCTAAAATAAAAATAAAATAAAGTTTTATATCTGTATGTAGGTACATCAATAAGTCCATAGTCTAATTTGAAAGTTTTAACTTGTTTAATTGTATTTTGCTATAATACACTTTCATTTATGACCCACTTTGAAAATTTTAGTCTTTTACATACCAAATATTAATTTCTCAACATAATCCTTTTTGTAAATACACATAATCTAACACTTCTCCATTAATCACCATAGATCAAACATTATAGAATGAAAATTTCAGACTAAAATTCAGCTAATAACTATGTTATAACTTTATGAATTTGTTTGCCCTGTTTCAAATGTAAATATCAATCAATTAATGTATGAGAAGTAATATTAGGAAAGCTTTTATTTAAATAAAAAAAATTAAAGAACATATTTAACAATAGTAAAAATGGCATCATTTCATTTTTTTTTTAATACTTAGCTGAAACCTGCACATTGGGTGAGGTTTTAAACTAGTGAAAAGCCTAAATGGGTGGTCTGGAAAAAGTCATAACTTTTTTTTTCTGGCTAAGAAATCTTCAACCTGTTGTCAATTTCATAAATGAAAGCGAAAAGATGATTTGAGTTAGCTAATTTGACTGGCACAAAGTAAGCTCCATTTTAGGCTAAAACAAACATTTAAATAAACCTACCATTAAAAACTTAAGAACTTTTAGAATTTAAAAAAAAATCTGAACATGCACTGAGGTCTCATCAGTAATTATAGAAATTTTGGGAGCCATAGCTCAAATCATCCTTGAATTATATGATGTCATACAAATAGTAATGTTAGACAAGTTTAAAATATAATAAACTTACCATGCATAGGTTTGATGTTTACTGTATTCTGGTGCATGTTGTGCTTCAATAACAACTGCTCCAAATAGTAGAAAGTCTTTTTATGTTCTGTCTAAAATAAGAGAGGAAAAAAATTACAAAAATAACAATTGCATAATGATTTTGAATGTAAGCTAGTTGTTTACTTTTAACTCTAAAATTAGCAGAAAAAAGTAATAATAATTAAAAAACTTGGGAAATGCTAAGCAAAGTTTTGACCTTAACTCATAAGAAAAAGAATTGGTGACATAAAATATATAAGAATGTTACTAATAATTTTTGATTGAGATTGAAAATCAATTCTGATTATCATAGTAACCCAAGTGCTAGACCACCCATATGTATGAGGGTCATTCAAAAAGTTCTAAGTCCCACCCAGAAAGAAGAGCCACAGCAGAACATTTTTGTTGTGGCAATACACTACCACTTCTTATAAAACTAGAAAAACTAATTCAGATTTCTGTGCAGGTGAGGCTCATACAAAGGTGAGAGGTGTGTGACAAATCTAAAAATGGACAAAACAGATGCCTGAGCAGTTATAAAATATCTGCAAAAGAAAGGTATGACACTCAAGGAAATCCACGAGGACATGGTGCAAACACTTGCTGAGGACTCCCCTTCCTATCCAACTGTGAAGAAGTGGGCTGTAGAATTCAAGTGGGGCAGAGACAGCACAGAAGATGACCCTTGGTCATGTTGTCCAAAAACTTCAACTACTGATAAACAAGTTGATGTCATTCACTGTATGGTTTTGGATGACAGACATCTTACTGTCCAGCAGGTAGCTAATTCATAGGCATTAGTTCTGGCTCAGCCCATACTGTTTTAACTGAGATCTTGGGGATTAGCAAGCTGTTTGCAAAATGGGTCCCAAGAATACTGACACCAGAGCAGAAGGGTGACATTTCCCGGACACTTCTGACTCACTTCCAGTCTGACCTTGAGAATTTCCACCGTAGATTAATAACTCAAGATGAAACCTAAGTTCTTCACTTCGAACTTGAATCAAAGATTTAAAGCAAACCGTGGAAACACTCTGTTTCTCTACTCCCAAAGAAATTCAAGCAGGCATTGTCTGCTGGCAAAGTGATGGTTTCTGTTTTTTTTTTATTCTGAAGGAATAATCATAATAGACTACTTGGAGAAATGAGGAATTATTAATGGACAGTACTATGCATCATGATTAAGGCAACTGAAGGAAGCAATCAAGTTGAAATTTAAAGAGTACAGATCTTGCTCCAGGATAATGCACTCATTCACACTGCTCAGTTGTAATAGCTGAAGCAGCCAACTGTGGCTTTGAATTGCTACCCCATCTTCCTTATTCAGCAGACTTAGCGCCATCTGAATTCTTCCTCTTTCCTAAACTCAAATCCCATCTGACGAGATCATGTGTGTTGTGGAGGATTTTTTTTGAGGACCAGGATGCCATCTTCTTAAGCATCATTGGACTAAGTACATTGATGTCAAGGGGAACTATATTAAAAAATAGTGAAAAACTGTTGTGCTTCTTCAACACCTTCTGAGTGAAGCTTTTTGGATGAGTCTTGTAACAATGGTTCAAGGTAGCCTAATTCTGTCTCCTAGTTGGGATTCTATTGTCAGACGTAGTTTTAAGCTCCCCTCCTGCAAACGACAGCAAACACACAACTAAATATCAATAACAATTTCCCTGCTCTTTCTTTCCGACTACCAATCTTTTGATCTTTTAAGCCATAACCACTTACAGACTTCTTCTGCTGCCATTGATATTGAAGAAATGGTCTTGGTTTTTTACAAGCCTGTTAATCCTAATTTTGACAGCATCATACAAAGTGACCGCCCAGTAAAATCTCTGCATCTAATCTTAATTGATTTGCACTGAGCTCACTAACACTAACTTTTGCATTCCTCTACAATATGCAAGTATTTCCCAAACTGCCTTCCATGGGATTCTTCTATGCTCTCTTCCCAATGGACTAATTCTAACATAATGACATGCATGGTTGTATCCAAATAAATAATCATGTCCAGACGTAGATGTAACTATATTATTTACTCTGAGATTTTTAACTGCCTGCCTATATCTACCTTTATTTGCCAGTCTGAGGCAGAACTGATGACAGAAGTTTTCTTCTGTAGTGTCTTTACCTTTTGCCCTGCTCAAACAAAATTCATCAGCTTCTTATCAGGCTCATCTCTGCTTCTTTGGAGACTCCTAAAGACTATTGCTGCAATTACTCTTAAAACTTTATCATGGACCCACCAGTAATGCTCCCCACTCAATGCCTTTGGGCAACTGCTCAATATATGTTGGAGAGATCCCCTCTTCAGTCCCAAAGGACAAAATGGGGACTCATTCTTTCCCCATGTGTAGAGGTTTACTGGGCTAGGTAATGTGTCATATACTGCTTGCACAAGGCAACTTATGTTACTGGGATTAGCATACCAGAGATTTGACTAGGAAAACATTTTTTTCTGTTTTCCCATTTTTTCCAGGCCATCTGCTGACTTAAGGCTACCATTTTGCTGGCTTTAATTTCCTCCACTCCTGCTTTCACTTCATAATGGAGACAGTGTTTCCAATCTTTCCCTTTTCCTCTTCTTTGGGGATTGTGACAATAAGCCAGGCTTGATCAACCCACTGCCACTGTTCCTACAAGGGCCTTCTGTCTTAATCTTTGCTCTGCTGTCCTTAGTTCTTGCAATGCCTTCCACTTTTTCCCTGTTTTAATCTCAATTAGTAACTTTAGGATCTTTTGAATCACCTCCCTTGTTCTCACCATTTTAAATTCTTCAACTAATCCTCTGAAGGGGAGTTGCAATGCATTTGATAGTCCATACAGAACAGCACTGCTCAAATTCCTCAGTAGGCCAAGCCATTTACACAAATTGCCACTAATCTTCTCCATAGTCATAACTGTTGTCAGTAGCACTTCATGTAGCATCAAGGGCCACAAAATCTTTGACAAAATGGTATATTGATATATCCATGCTTTAAAACAGCCTGGTAAAACCTGACTTGTCCACTTTGTTCAACATTGCTTTGAGATCTATAAAACATTTCTGAATAACACTTATATTTTTAAATCAGAATTGAAAAATTTACCCAGACACTTGACTGGTTTCTCTTTTAACGATAGGATTACGGCTCCTGAAATCTTAAAACAAATTTTTTTTTATCGCAATCACTTTCTTCAATACCAATGACTTTGATTTTGTGAGTTTAAGTTCCATTCTTGCCAAAGTCGTCATCCTTTCTAAACCCAGTAAAATCCAATGACACCCAGATGTCATACTACAAGTAGCCAGTATAAATACACAGAATACCTATATACTAAAAATCACTGAAAAGGGAAAAACCCCATATAGCAAGATGGTTAATACACAATTTTAACTGCTTAATAATGGTATATAATCATTTTATGTAGTTGGTCCAAGACTTTTTTTGCATACCAGTGTATAATATAGTTACTGACATGTACTATATATATACACACACACACACACACAATGTAGAGAAAATTATAAATTCTCACAAGAGTAATATCATTAGGGATTTTAATACTGACCAGTTACAAAGGGAATTTAATACTAACTAGTTATAAAAAGAGAATTCTACCTGTAATAAAACAAAAAAAAAAAAAAGAGTAAAAAACTGAATGTCCAGTAGGAGTTTTTATGACAGAAAACATGGTGTATGAAGCCACAATCTCCACCAAAGAGAATTTAAAAAAAAAAAAAAACATCTATATAGGAATATCTGCTGGGAATTGGAAACAGCGCTTCTACAACCATCCCCATTTCTTCACTAATGAATCCCAGAGACACCAAATAGCGCTATCGAAATACTATTGGGATCTGGTGGAAAATGGCTTCACGCTACAGGTGAAATGGAGAATCATCTCTAGAACTTAAACTCCTAAAAACTTTAGAGACAGATGTGACCTCTACAATAAAGATCCTGATAATCAAGCATAATGATCCTGATGAATTTCTCAACCAACACAATGAGATAAGCTTTAAATGCAGACACAGAAATCATCTCAGTATAACTAACTACATACAAAAAAACCTGTCCATTCAAATTCTGAGAGTCTAAATTATCAATATTTGAAATAATACCTGATGTTGCTCTATAGAAATTTTATTTATATTATAATATACATGCATTTGTATATGGGCGTGTGTGTTGATATATATCCTTATAATTAGGCTAATATTTATAGATGTCCATATGGTAATTACAAGCATACACATATGTTGCTGTATGCATATGTAGATGTTTATATATGGAAGTATTTATTTGCTTGTATTTAGATGTGAGGATGGTTGTATGCAAGACGCGTGTACACATATATATATATATATATGTATGTGTGCATATGCATGC